AATTGTGAGTATCCATGTACTTGTTAAATTAGCAAAGATTAGAAAGCAGTATATCACAGTGTTGGTAAGGATGTGGGGAGAGGAACCTTCAGGCACAGTGAGTAAGAATGTAGACTCATCTCATTTATATCTCTTTATGATCCAGCATTTCAAATCTAAGTCTGTATGAGGATATTGCAGCTTTATTTACAAAATCGCAGAGTTGGAGGCCATCTTGGCACCCATCCCTAGGAGAGTAGATCAGTAAAATATGCAAAATACACTCTATGGTGTACTATGCAGGAAGTGCAAGAAATGGATTGGATATTCTACATAGCAATAGATAAGCTTGCAAACCACATACGATATTTAAAAATGAGAAACATATCACTTGCTTAAATAAAAAATTGGCATTAAAAAACCAATAATACATATTCTTAACACACAAAAAGAAAATGAAATGGAATTACTAGCATTTCCACTTGAGTATATAGTCAAATGAACTGAAAGCAGGATCTTCATGTTCATAGCAGCATTATTGACAATAGCTAAAGTGTGGGAACAACTCAAGAGTCAACAAACGAAGGAGTAAGTGAAAGAAGTCCATCCATATAAGGGAATATTATTCAGCCTTAGAAAGGAAGAGAATTCTGACTTAACTACAACATGGATGAACCTTGAGGACATTATGTTGAGTGAAATAGCCAGTCACAAAAGGACAAAAAACAGCATGATTCTACATATATGAGGATCTGAGGGGATGGAGGAATAGGACATTGTTGTTTAATGGGTTTGAGGTTTAATTTTTACAAGAGTTCTGGCGATGGATGGTAGTGATGGCTGCACAACACTATAAATAAAAATAAAATAAAAAATACCACTAAACTTCTGAGCCACCCAGGCTGCCCTCATATCTGTTTTAAAGACCATCATCAAAAAGACAAGAGATAACAAATGCTGGTGTAGGTGTGGAGGAAAGAGAACACTTGTGCACTGTTGGGATTGTAAATGGGAATAGCCACTATGGAAAACAGTATGGAGCTTCCTCACAAAATTAAAAATAGAACTATCATATGGTCCAGCAATTCCACTTTTCAGAATATATCCAAAGGAAATGAAAAAACTAGCTTGAAAATATATCTGCATCCTCATGTTCATAGCAGCATTATTTATAATGGGCAAGGCTTGGAAACAACCTAAGTGTCCATCAGTGGATGAATAGATTAAGAATTGTGATATATATATATGTATATATATATATATATATAATTCAAAAACATTAAACCATCTTTCACATGAGAAATTATATTAAAATATTTTATATATATATTACATATATATAATTCAGCCATTAAAAACAAGGAAATCCCACCACGTGTGACAACATGGATGGACCTTGAAGGCACGACACTAAATGAAATAAGTCAGACAGAGAAAGACAAATATTGTATGATCCCACCTATATGTGGAATCTAAAAACAACAGCAACAACAAACTCATGGAAAAAGAGCTGAGACTTGTGGTCATCAGAGGCAGAGGGTGGAAGAGAAGGAATCAGAGGAAGGGGGTCAAAGGGTACAAACTTGCAGTTAAAGGATTAGTGAGTCCTAGGGATGTGATGTGTGACATAATGACCACAGATAACACTACTATAGGATATATAGCAAAGGTGTTAAGAGAGTAGATCCCAAGAGTTTTCATCACAAGGAGAAGATTTTTTTCCTCTTTTTGTCTCCTTTTAAAAAACTATCTGTATGAGAAGGTAAGTGTTGGCTAAACCTATTGTAGTCATCATGTCACAATATATGTAAATGAAACCATCATGCTATATGCTTTACACATGCATAGTGATTATATATCAATTATTTCTCAATAAAACTGGGAGAAAAAAACCCTTAGAATGGGGCTTCCACTTTGGGTTGTCCGCTTTCTTCAATCATCTGTTGATGGAGACTTCTGTTGTTTCCATGCCTTGGCTATTGTGAATAATGCTGCAGCAAACAGGGGAATACAGATGCCTCTTTGAGATAAATATTTTGTTTCCTTTGGGTAAATACACAGAATTGGAATTGCTGGATCATATGATAGTTCTACTTTTAATTTCTTGAGGAACCCTCCATACTGTGTTTTATAGTGATTGTACCACCTGACATTCCCACCAACAGTGTACAGAGTTCCCTTTTTCCCCACATCCTCACCAATACACTTGTTATCTCTTATCTTTTTGGTAATAGTTATTCTAATGGGTGTGAGATGGTTTCAACTTGCATTTCCTTGGTGATGATGTTTCCTGAGTGATGTTGAGCACCTTTTCATGTATCTGTTGGTTATTTGTATGTCTTCTTTGGAAAAATGTCTATTGAGGTTCTTTGCTTATTTTTAAATTGGGTTATTTGGTTTTTTTACTTTTGAGTTATATGAGTTCCTTGTATATGTTGCGTATTAACTCCTTACCGATATGTGGTTTGCAAATGTTTTCTTCTACTCCATAGGTGGCCTTTTTATTTTGTTGATGCTTACTTGTGCTGTGCAGAACCTAACACCATATATGCCAAAAAGTAAGAAAGAGCTCAAAAACTGATGGTAAAAATAGCAACAGCATGTAGGATCCTGCTCGAAGGGCTCCCATTAGATAAATCTGGGACAATTTGTACATCAAAACAATAAAAGTAATATCATGTTCTATCCCATTGATATAAAGGGAAACTGTGAGGTCATGATGTTATAAGCAAATAAATGAATAAATACATAAGTGGAGGAGAAAAGATGCTTTTACTATATGGTGAAATGCCCACTAATGGGCACTTATTAATTAATCAGTACAATATACTTGACAGTAGAGAAACCTGGTGGAGACTTTCTGAAGCAAGTGATAAAGTTTAACATCTTTAGTCAGGGGGCAGGTTGGCACCAAACGTCTCCAAATATGATGCACTGAGAACAACACAGCATCAACTTCTGTGATGCTCTAGTTGCTTCCTGCTTTAGTTGTATAAACGGAATCTAATCATCAGGAAACATCAGGAAACCCACAACAAGGAACCATCTGCCAGATAACTGTGGCGTTCAAGATGTTGAGGTCAGGAAGGACCAGAAAAGTCTGAAGAATTGCTCCTGATTGTAGGAAACTAGGAAGGCATCATGACTAGGTAAACGATGATTCTAGATCCTGGGACTACGAAGGACATTATTTGCAAAGTGGGCAAAATGGGAAAGAAGGCTACATATTCCATGATGATATTGTGTCAGTTAGTTTCTGCTTTGATTATGTAGGAGAGCATCCTTGTTGCTAGTAAAATCATTCTGAAGTACAAAAGGCTGACGCGGCATCATCTTCGCACCCTGCTCTCAGATGGTCCTGGAGAAAAATAGTACATTTATATCTATCTATCTGCCTGCCTGTCTTTTGAGAGAGAGAGAGAGGGAGGGAGAGAGAGAGAGAGAGATGAATTAGAGCAAATGTGGTAAAATGCTGACAGCTGGGAAATCTGGATGAGAGTTACGGAAGTTCTTTGGGCTCCTCTGGCAACCTTTCTGAAGATGAAATGCTAGAAACAACCATAAATGCCCTGAGTGAATGAGGAGGGGCACTGGCAGGGGGAGTCAGATGTCTTATCTGACAGACTTGGAAGAAAGATCACCCAAGAAACAGACTCAACTACAGAGAATACACTGCTGGTTACCAGAGGGGAGAGGGGTGGGGGAAACAGGTGATGGGGATGAGGGAGGGCACTTGTGATGCGGGGATGTATGGAAGTGCTGAATCACTCTGTTGTACCCTTGAAACCAATGTTATGCCACATGTTAACTGACCTGAATTAAAATAAAATCTTAAAAAAAAAAGAGAGAGAGATCACCTACTTGCCTTGCTTGGCTTCATTTAATCCTCAGGTTAAATCTGCCCCACAGGGGTATATACTAGTCTTAGCCTCACTTTATAAAGAAACTAGGGGCTCAGAGATCGATCCATTCCACCAGCATTTACAAGCGCTCACTATGGTCCAATGTGACCACGGCTACACACAAAAAAAAATGTAAAGTGTGATTGCAGATGTGTGTGTGTACATTTGGAAAGAAAGCAACACAGGGGACACACCGTGACATTAATGGGCTAAGAGAGACCGCCCTGTGCGGGTTGTGGGTAGTGACTACATGTGCTTCCAGTTTCTTCTTTGGCTTCTTTATCTGTTTCTGGTTTTCTACAATGAACATTGTCGCCTTTGTGACCAGTTAAAACATAAGCATTATTTCATAAATGGACCTGGAGGAGGTTATCACGACAACCTTTCTCATTAGGATAGTTTCGTGGGTCAAATACTGTTTCATGATGCAGTCTTAATTTACCAAAATGGTAGACAAATGTTTCTTCATTCCGTCATGCCTTCTTCTCTCCACCCTACAGAGACTGGCAGGTTTACAAGTAGAAAGCTGACTCCCCACCCCCCTTGACTCTCAAGGCATGGGTTTGTTCACATTTTGTATGTGGAAACATAAGCCCAATGCAGTGTGACCGCCTCCTCTCCAGACAAAAATTTCCCAAACCATCATGGTACCGGCCTCTTTATACAAAAAAAAAAAAAAAAAAAAAAAAGCCTGGGCACATAGTAGGTCTCTGACTGAAGGGGAGGGTGGCTTGATAAAAGCATAACTCTAAGATCCAAAAAAAGAGCAACCAGCCCAATGATGTCACTGTGTTATAAGATGGGACAGCCACTCACTAAGGGTACTTCCTGACCGATGGATCCCTTCCTCCCCTTTGCTGCCCAGCACCACAGGCTCCAGGGCAGCCCCATCCATCCTGCCTGGGGTCTCCCAACATCCCTATGCCTGTGTGCCTCTCAGGGCTCAGAGAACTCGCTTTGAAGGAAGCAGATCCTCAGTCAGTCAACACTGGTCACTTCCAGATGGAATCGATTTGTGCAAGCAATAGTGGGGAAATGGGTGGGATAAATTAGGATATAGCCCTGCTGTGGAATTGAGCGCAGCCTTCAGAAACAACGTTTTAACATGATTTATTCACCTAGGAAAGTGACCCCAACATACTTCTACTTAAAAACAACAAGAGTACAGTTGAAGTCCATCTTTGTCGCCATCGTAAATGCACACAGGAAAGACACCAAGCTAAAAGAAAAGACATCCAAGAGTGCACGGTACTTGTCTTTGGGTAGTGAGAATTGGGTGATTTTGGTGTTCTCTTTTTCCCTTTGTGTTTTTAAGCTGTTTTTGTTATTGGGAAAATTCTTTTTAAAGAAATACACATCCTAGGGAAAAGGGAAGAAATTTGTGATGACCAGGAGGTCCCTGGTGAGAGATCAAGTGTTAAGGACATTTAGGGGAAATATGTTCCTTTGAGTTTAGGATCCTCTCAACCTTCCACATCAACGTGAGTCCCCTCCTCACCCTCCTCCCTCTCAGCCTCAAACACTGTTAGCTGCACACCAGGTCATTTTTCTGTGGATGTGTCCCAGGTGGCAGCCAGAACTCTGACCTGTAAAACCAGAAGGCTTGGGTGGGGAAGCAGAGCCTGATATTAATTTCTGCAATAAAGCCATCAGAATGTACTCCCACATCATCCAACTTACAAGGAAGGGAGATTCTGGAAAATATTCAGAAAGAAGAAACTGGAAATAATGAGTCCCTCCCCTCTGTGGCGATTTCAAGAAGTAAAGCATAGTATGCATGTGATCCGTGACTAGTCCACTGCCTGAATTGTTTGATTTTTGCAAATGTAACAATTCTCGCCAAGGGCTTTCTCAGTTCCACTGCCAAGGACAGTTCCCCAATCCTATTTCTCACTGGGACTTGAGTTGTTTCTCAGGGTTTCCAAGGGTCTAAACCCTGCAGTGGGGGTGGAGTGGGGGTAGGTGAGGGTGGGGAGGAGGCTGCTGGTTCCTGTTTGGCTCCTTGCTCAGAGTAGAGTCAGTAGGAAATCACTGACTCCAAGTTCACTGATGGTAGGGACAGGGACGTGGGCAGGGATGCTCAGTGGCTTTGTTTACGAATGTTAATGATCACAAATCTGAAATCCTGTTGGGGCCCAAGCTTTTCCCCTGCACCCACCCTCTTAGTCTTCTGGAATGTTCCATTTCGCTCACTCCCCTCCTTCCTACCAGGGAGGAGTTCTTGGAGAGGATGCAAGCTCTGGAGGTGATTTCGTCTGGACTGCCCTTAAACTCCCTCACCTCCACATGGCTGCAATTCCATGCTCTGCCAGGTGTCTGAACCTGGTGGGGAGACCCAACCTGCCTCGGCTTGGGTCAGAGTGACTGGCGGGCCACCCTTGCTGGGCCCGAGTCAGAACCCAGCAGAAAGCTCATGCTCCGCCGTGGAGGGAGACATGGAGCTGGCCCTCTCGAGTCTGTCCGTGGAGAGGAAGGGGAACCTTTTAGCCAGATGCCTGGCCACCAGCCTGTGGAACAGCTGGCGCAGGTACCTGCGGAACCTCTCCCCGACGAAGGCATAGATGACAGGGTTAACGCAGCAGTGCGTGTAGGCGATCACCTCGGTCACCTGCATCGCCAGGTCCAGCTGTTTGCTCTGCCTACACTCATCGGTGAACAGGCTGTCTTGGAAAGCAGAGATCAACATGGTCAGGTTGTAGGGAGTCCAAAAGAGAAAGAAGACGATCATGATGACAAAAATGAGCCGGACGGCTTTGGCCTTCTTCTCGTTGGGTCGCTTGAGCAGAATCTTTATGATCGCTGTGTAGCAGATAATCATGACGAACAGAGGCAAAACCAGCCCCAGTAAATTCAGTTTCAGAGCCTGGAACTGTTTCCAGGCTTTTAGGTCTTCATAAGGGAAGTGGAGGCTGCAGGTAGTGTGGGAGAGTTCTCGCTGGGTCTTGGAAAAGTAGAAGCCTGGGATGGAGGCCAAGAGGGCCAGGACCCAGGCACCAATGCTGCTGATAATACCAAAGATGACAGTCCGAACCCGCAGGGCAAACACAGCGTGGACGATGGCCAGGTACCTGTCGACGGTCAGCAGGATGATGAAAAGGATCTCGCTGTATAAGCCTGTGTAATAAAGCCCCGAGAGCAACTTACAGGTGCCATCACCAAAAATCCAGTCATCCTTTAGCTTGTAGTCAATCCAAAAGGGCAGCGTGAAGAGGAAGAGCAGGTCCGACATGGCCAGGTTGAGAAGGTAGATGCTGGTCATGCTCTTGAGCCTCCTGTATTGCATGAGGACCAGGAGCACCAGGATGTTGCCGACCAGGCCAATGATGAACACCAGGGAATACAAGGGGGGCAGCAGCTGAGCTCCAAAGGCCCGTACCTCTCCCTTCTGGCATGGGGTTATGCCCTCATAGTCATACATTGTCGACTGGTCATAGTCCCTGCTGGGGGCTGTGGTTTCCATCCTGGCTTCTTGCACGAGTCAAGGCAAACGGTGTCTGTTTACTCTGCTGGGAAAGGCAGTGGGCTGTGGACAACAATGTTAGTGATTATAGGTCTTCAACCACCTGACAACTGATTACTGAGTACCTACTGCGTATCAGGCCCTAGAGCGAGGGGGATCCAAGGCCTCTCCGCCTTTCGGGGAACCTGGAATCTAACAGAGGGCGTAGGCGTAAACGGAGGAGCCCACCCATTGTTAATCCAATTACTTGGGACAAGTCCATGGCTGGAGAGCACAGACAGAGGGAGATCTCACCACACTGCTCTGAAGCAGCGCTGCCCGAGGTCTTGGCATTGGACTTAGTGCTAGACAACTCTCCCCCACTCCCACAGAGGGGGTGCCACTGTTCCTCAGTTTTGAGGTGATAATGGAGGAGTTCGAAGTGGTAAGGTATCTATGAGAATGAGAGCTGGAGTTGCTTTCATGGAGCAATGGATTTGCATTGGGGGGTCCCCAGGAGGAAGCTCTCAAGCCCCAAACATACAAATGGGTCTTCATGGCTACGGAGACTAAAAAGATTCTCAGGCAGGAATGATGTAGCATGGTGGGGGCACAGGAAAATATGTGGGTTTTGTTTGTTTGTTTGTTTGTTTTAGTTGCCACGGAGACTAGGGGATGCTACTGTCTGGTCATTGAGTAGGCAGGGCCAAGGATGTCCTGTAATACAAACTTTATCCTACCCCAAAGACCCATAGTGCTGCCGCAGTGAAATTCTAAAGGCCAGCCCCATTCCTTAGTAAATGAGGACCCTGAGGGCACCAGACTGGGTCAGCTTGGATATCTTAGATATTTTTACCCAAGGTTGCCATTAAACAAAGAAAAACAAAAAAGAGCCACTAGATAGCTTGCCTTTGTAGGACTTCCCCAGCCCCCGATTTTCAGTGCTCCTTTCCACTTCTAAAGACACCTCTCCAAAGGGACCATGGGTTTTTGTGTAACCTACCAGCTGTGTGACTTTGAGTAAGTTAATCTACTTCTCTGAGCCTCATTTCCTCATCTGTCATGTGGGAAAGTAACATCTTGCATGGCTACTATTGTGTATGAGAAAAGCCACCCCCTTGTACTTAGCGGGTCCTCAGTAAATATTAGAGCTCCTCCTTCCCTGCACTGACCCTTCTCTGAGGCCAGTCCCAGGCTCCAGTCCTATTCTGGTTGATGTACCCTGCTCCCCAAGTCCCCCACCATTTTTCTTCGTAGTTAATCTGGCAGATGAATTTTGCTTGACAGTGGGGGACGGTGACAGTCCCTTCCACGTGAAGTGCACTTTGAAATTTTCAGTAGCCACCAGTTTGAGTTGATTTGACATAAAGACCGATCAGTAAGGTAGCTGGTTCCTACATCATCATTCCCATCCAGAATCTGGAGTCTCTAGCACTCTTTCTTCTCAATTGCTTAATGAATGTTTCCTTCTTACACAATTCACATTTCTGCAGTGGCCATTAGAACATTAAGCACATTGGTAGGGGGGGGCGGCTGGTCAGTGTCATACACCCTGCCTGGGGGACTGTCGTTCCCAGTCAAATCCATCCCTGTGTCTGACGCCTCCAGCTCTGAACTTGTCTGTTCCTCACCAGCCCTCCAGGGCTGACAGGTCAGTTTGGGAGGCAGCACTTTTGGGTGGGCTGGCAGGTCTACAGCAGAAGCTACAAGCAGCTTGGAAGCACAGAGAGCAACTGGTGCAAGACCCACGAGCTCATGAGCCCAGTTTCTGGGGAATTCTGGGAAAGGCGAAGGCAAACTGAGTCAGCATTGCTCATGCCATTTGAACAGAGGATCGCCTTCACCAGCCCCCTCCCCGCCCCCCACCTCCAACTCCATTTACTGTTTTCCCAACTTGCCAGGCACCCCACAACAGCTCTAGGAGAGGGATGACCTGGTGTGGGGCAGTGGAGGAAGACACAAGGACCCTGTTGCCATCTAGCCCCGCTGGAGTCTGCTGCAAAGTCTGCCCCAAGGCCTTTGGGAGCCTGGAGCCCGGAACCTTGCAGTGCCAGCATCCTCCAAACCGGGAGTTGGTGAAGTCTTTGAGCCAAGAAAGGGCAGTCTGATGATAAGACACCTACTCCTGGTGGTGTGCAGGGGCTGATTTATACTGGTTCATAAAAACCAATCCTATGCATCTTTCCCCAACTCTGCATTCGGGGGGTCGGTAGCTTGAAATCAATCATAGTGGGGATGTTTACACCATAGAAATCCACAAACACTAGAAATCAGGGGTGTGTGTGTGTGTGTGTGTGTGTGTGGGTGTGTGTAGAGCCAGTTGTTAAACATTTACTGGCACTTCCCTCCCCACAGCTGAATAGCCCAGATTGTCCCGTTAGAGTGGAAACTCAAGGGTCAGTGAGTGGTACACAGCCTGCTGACAAGCTATGCAAACTTCTGAGAGTTTCTTACTCTGAGAATCTGGGGCACTCCACATTTTATGGAGGAACAGTTGAAGTAGATACGTCCAAGTAGCCCCCACGCCCCTCCATCTTCAGAACAAATTCTGACCTGCCTCTTTGTTAGAACAAAATGGATGCATCCCAAGAAGACCTCGCCCTGCCTCCAGGAGGGTAAAATCCTACCTTCTCCAAGGACAGATCAGCAGTCCTGATTGTGAGGCTCCTTGGCTCTAGCCTTCTCAAGAGATTGGTCCACCATCAAATCATCCTTGCATCTGCAATGTTTTTTTCTTCTAATTCTTATTTCCCTTTTGCTACAATTTCTTCATACACCATGTTTGGTTTTTGTTTTTGTAGGGCAATTTGGCAAGTGATTTCCTCTTGAATCATTTTTCACAGAGAGCCTCTTGTTTCTTAACTGACTTTAGAAAGGCTGATTTTTCTCAATCAGTCGCCAACAACCAATCTTTCAGGAAAGCTTCCCTTTTTTTAGCAAAAAAAAAACACCCCACCTTATTTTACTATCTGAGCACCTAGTCTTATAAATTCACCCATTGTCAGCATTGCTATACAATTAATCGCCTTATAGATGCATCGATGGGCTACTTAGACATTTGCTTGGCCCTCAAAGAATTCTTCACCTTTGAGGAGAGAGGTAAATAATGCCCTCAACATGAGGCCCGCAGTTCCGCCTGGCGACACACATGTCTTCAAACGAGATTGCCCTCAGCTGTCACTGACAAGACAGGAAAGACAAGTGACACTTACTCTGATCTCTAAGGATTTTGTCCACGAAGTCTCTATTTCTGGAGCTTGTAGAATCTTCATGAAATCAAGGTTCAACGTCCTGATTGAGCAGGAAGTCCTCAGCTTCCTGTGTGATGATTTAGGACTCCAGGGTTCGCAGTCTCAGAATGACAAGAAAGGGACAAAGTTCTTCTTTTTTGTATGGTTGGGTGTCCGTGAATGGCCACGATACCCGCCTGCGGCAGTTCCTCGAGGCTGGGTTCGCTCTCAGCTGTGCTCCTCCCTGGGGAGCTCTGCCTTAAGGGGACTGGGGAGGGTGGGGTTGGGTGGAGTTGAGTGGGGGAGAGATGGTGTGAGGTGTTCCCAGAATTCGTGAAGCAATCAAAGGCTGAGCTTAGGGGTGTGTTTTGGGGTTGAGGGAGGGAAGGGCATAGAGGTCTTGTGGTCAGTGAGTGGCCCTTTTTTTTTTTCCTTAAAGCTCGCAAATGGATGGATTTAAACCAGAACCTGGATCCTGTTCCTCAAAATGAACTGGCAGAGAGCCCGAGAGAGGCAGTGGCTTCTCTCTGCTGCCCCCTATGTCCTTCACCTCTGACCACTTGCTGTCCCTCTCTGTTCCCCATTCTCTACCTCATCAAACCTCACTGAACAGTTTCACCTCAAGGAACCTCGGCCTGGAGTGAATCCAGGTCTCTGGGTTGGATTTTGGCCATTCCTTTCTGATCTCACGTTCCTGTTTTCTGCAAGAGTCCAACTTGGCCATGGCCAAGTCTCAGCTCTCTCCTTGAGACAAGGGCAGACAACTGTGCCTTGAGAAGTCTTGGCTTCTCACGCCATCAGATGAGATGACTGAACACTCGCTCGGAGCAGGTGTACACGGTCAGCTCGTAGGTGAAGAGTGTCACCTGGCCCAAGGGAAAGTGCCTGGTGAAGGATGCTTCCTGCAAGTCTCCCCACAGTCAACACTGTGCTTGCATCCCCCTCAGGTTCTACTCCTTTTCCTTAACACGGGACCCCACTAGCCTTCCTCACAGATGGCGCAAAGCACCATTTCAGAAAGGAATACCAGGGTGCTTTGAAAATGTCACTTGCCCCTTCAAGGCTGTTTCCTCCTCTGTATAGTGAAGACTTGAGGCAAGATCTTCAAAGGAACATTCTGTGAGTCTTCTGGGGTCAGGTCTCCCCTCTTTGGCAGCCTGTCCAGAGAGATGGGGGTGGAGGGATGCAAAAGGCGACCAGACCGACGAAGAGGGATACGGGCCTAAGAACTTGCTGCCTTTGTGTGGAGAACAGGGCATGCGGGAGCACTGTGATGGGCCTGGCAAATCAGACAGTCCTGTATCACATCCTGGGGTCTACCTCTTGGTAACTTTGGCTGCAATCTTTATGCTTTGATCGTCTCTTTCCTCTTCTGTAAAAACGAGGCTAATTAGGTTGACTTTATAAAGGATTGAATGAAGATATATACAGGCATCTGAATAAATGATTTGGTGGAGTGCTTGGGATTGCTTGGGATATTATTGATGCTCTGGTGTTTTTTTTTTTTTTTTAGATTTTTATTTATTTATTCATGAGAGACAGAGAGAGAGAGAGGAGGAGAGGAGAGAAAAGCAGAGACACAGGCAGAGGGAAAAGCAGGCTCCATGCAGGCAGGCCAACGCGGGGCTCGATCCCGGGTCTCCAGGATCACACCCTGGACTGAAGGCGGTGCTAAACCACTGTGCCACCCGGGCTACCCCATCGATGCTCTGTTTTAACTTAGGGTTCCCTTTTAGGTGCAAACCCTGGAACGGAATGCAGATGCAAGTAGTGCATTTGCAGGGGAATCCCAGGAAGCCCTGCAGGGTTGGGGAAAATGGGCCAGGGAAAGGAATGTGACCATGAGGGGAGCATTATAGAAGGGCCTCCTGGGGAGCTCAGGGAGCCTCCCACTGGGAGGGCCAGGGGTGAGGAGACCTCGCGTGTATCTAGCAAATGGCTACTTGCCCAGCACTGAGTGAGGGCTGCTTCTTGATGGCTTGTGTCACTGACTATCCTCCCCAGGACATTCTTCTCCACCAGCGCACAGGGCTGGGCATTCCAGGCAGTGGCTGTAGCCATAGATGTAGTGGAGATGGATGGAAGAATCAGCAAGGTGCACACCACAAGATTCTAACCTTGACTTTGCCCTGACCTCTGATTCCTTCATTCAGCACCCCCTTAATTTGTGTCAACCTCTCACCTAGCCTGCCGAGCCTCTTTCATCTTGCACACTTCTATTTTGTGTTTCACCCATGACATCTAATATTGACTCAGCCATTTCTGCTGCTCCTTTCCTGTCTCAACCACAACATCCCAGAAATCTTATGCTCTGTTTGGCCAAGACAGGGCAAGGCCAGACTCCTTGACTGCGTGGAGCCTGGTTCTCACTGAGGTTCACCCTTCGGGTTCAAGTGCTATACTGCAAATAAATTTCCAGGAGGATGGCAGTGCCATGACCATGGAGCTCTCTCTGCTGCCCTATTCCAGGCCACAATGTCTGGCTACTTGACAAAAGAGGTTGCTTCTGACCCTAGGCCACTTTCGGGACACCAAAGCCAGACTGATGAGTAGCCCACAGATGGACAAAAGGGTCTTTGGGAGACATGGGTGGCTCCTAGGCAGCAGCCTACCCTTGCCTCTTCCACATCACTGCATTTCATCCCCACCTGACCCTTCCACCCTGTCTCATTTCCTTTCCTAGCCTCTCTTCTACCACCCTCCCCCTCCATATTTCTTCTTCCCAGGTGGTCAGTTCTCCTCCTTAGTCTCCATCTTTCTTTCACATTCCAGCATGCTACAAACCCAGCCTGGCAAACCAGAGGAAATAAGTACAGCATCTTTTCTCCCCTCTGGTCTGCTTGGCTGCCCTATTGTGCTGGGTCATGTCCTGGTACCACTGAGCGGGTTGAGCACATCCATGACCCTTCTCAAACTGCCTAGACCATTCAAGAGGCCACTTCCTCCTTGAAGCCTTCCCTTTCTGCAGCAGGAAGTCATCTAAGAGGGCAGATGCCAGAGCTCTGAGAGTTTTAAGTTTTTCCTGGGGGTGGGGGAGGGAGGAGTTCCCTTTATTTACACTTAATTGTGTATGTTGGATACTTTTGACAATGAACAGCAAGGCAGTCCACTCAAAGTAGCTCAAAAAAAAATTAAAAAGAATAGAAACTATTCTTTTCTCACAAACCTAGATCTTATCTCTGGTTTGTTATTAGTCTCTAATATTCTCTTGTAATCATTCTAAATGACTTCACAATCTACACGTCTCTGTCTACAGCCTGACACCCTCACACTTAGGGGCTAAATATCACAATGACATCATGGTATAAATCTGTGGGTTGCATGGGTGTCCCTATCTGGCAAAGGGGCTGGGGCTTGACTGGGGTGCCCCAGTATTCCACGTGGCCTCCTGTCCTCGAGCTGGCCCCACCAGCTTCATTGCCTTTGGGGTGGGGAGGGGTGGAGGGAGTCCTGGACATAAGCAGAGATCGCAGTGTCTTCAGGCATCATGTCAGAGGTCACCTAATGTCGCCTCAGCTGCATTCGGTCAGTGAAAGCAAGTCACAGAGCCCAGCTGCAACCAAGGAGTCAGGAGATGGGATGCATCATTTTAGCTAGAGCCATCGGGTCACACTATAGAAGGCTGAGTGCTCCAGGACAGGAGGGCCTGGAAACCATATGTTATCCTCCACCAAAGTGCAGGTTTCCTGCAGCCCTTTTGCCATCCCCCACAGCTATGTCTTCCATGTCCCTCACCTGCTCACCCCGGGATCCTAAATCCTGGACCTCACTATCACACCGTCCGCTGCCCTTCATACCTCGGTTCCTGGCACCCCAGCTTCTGACCCCACTTCCATCTTTCCTCCCTCCTGCCCCTCAGCACCACTGGTTCCCCAGCCCCAGCGGGACTGTGGGTATGTGCTTTCCCCAGACCGTCAGCCTCCTCCTGCCCTTGCTGGCCATCATCTTAAATCCATGGGCCATTGTCATAGTCCCATACACACACCCACAAAGTTGAAGGCGGCAGGAGGGAACCATGCCAGTATCCAGCCTGGGACCCTCCTGCAGGAATGATGGCCCTGCGGGAGGGGCCACAGTAACCCGTGGGCAGTGTGGGGTGCTACGGTGCCACGCCACCCATCTTTCTGACATGCTCAGACCAGCCTCTGCTCCCCGCCCAGTGAGGGCTGCTGGCATCACCTCCAGGCACTGTGACATCTAACAGAAGACAGGGCTGCTTCTTCTTTTTGTCAGTTTATAGGAAGAAGGAAGCTCTGACAAGTTCTTTGAAAAAAAAAAACAAAAAAAAAAACAGTCCCCAGAGAAGTGGCTTCTCTCCAGTGAGACCAGGGCAGCCCCTCCCTGGCTGTCTAGGGCAGTGCCTGGGTGACAGCCCCTCGAGGGAGAGCTCCTTCTTGCTCTTCTTCTGCCACAGGGCGATGCTTGGCAGGAAGCAGACGCTGGAGGGCAGGGTTTGAGAGCTTAGAACAAACCAGCAACGGGAGGGTGGCCGTGGCTACAGAAGCTGCTGAGCAGACCACAGCAGGTCGCAGAGCTAAGCGCCCGCAAGAACTGAGAGGTACCTCACTGTCAGGAGGCAGGGAGGAATGAAGAAGGTGACAATACCCTCCATCCCTCAGATCTAAGCTGGAGGCAGTGAGGTGTGTGAACGTGTCCCCTCCTGCTGAACTCCGTGGTGGGCTCCGGCTGGCCCTGGATTCCCTCCCACCTCATTCATCACACACCCATTACAGTGCCCTCCGCCTCTCTCAGATCCTGGGCAGCTGTGGGCCCCAGGTGAGTTAGGCAGGGCCTGGGACTAGTGCTAACTTAGCATCAGCGCCATGTGGGAGCTGGTTGAGAAGAAAGATTGTCAGGCCCCATCCCGGACCTGCTGAATCAGAGTTTTCAGGAGCTGGGTTTCGACCCAGGAAGCTGTAAGCCCTCTGGTGCGTCTCATTTATGCTGCAGTTTGAGACTCGTTGCTGTTTGAGACTCGACTAATCAGACACTTGCTGATTAGGGTGTGATGGCAAGACCTGAACACACATCCAGGAATGCAGACTAGAGGCCCACTGAAGGAGAAACTGTGTTTTCACCAGATCCCCCCAGGGATTTGTTTGCATATTACGGTGTGAAGACACCCTGGTCTAGAATGTCACGGTCGAGCAGGATATCTGTGTAGGGTTCAAGAGATGCACAGGAAGGTGGGTGGAGTCCAAACATCCTGCAGAGACATTCACACCTCATCTGGGCTACAGAGATGAGCTGGAGTCTGTCAGGTGGCCAGGGGC